ATCTTCAGGCTAATAGCTTTGAAACATTGGTTTACTGAAGTCATCCATCCTTTAATAACATCAATAATGTGTTCCGTATTCAGCAGCAATAGTATAGCTAAATTGGGGCCATAAAGTTTGTTCATAAAATTGTTTGAGAAAACAAAAAAATAAATTTTTTTTGCAAAAAAAAAAAAAAACTGAAAATAAAAGTTTGTTCAAACTTTTTTTTTGTCAAACATACATATATATATACATACACACACACAAATATATATATACACATATGTGTATTTATTATTTTTTTTTCAACGGGCACAGTTTTTTGGGTTTTTTTGTTATAACTTGCAGATTTTTTTTTGGCTACAAACTTAGTTTGGCGTTGGGCGCGGCGCCTCAGATGATGGGCATGTGGAATCATGACTAACAGCCCAACATAGTGGTTGAACAAGCTATTCCCAGCTTTGGCATTCAGGGACCATTGGAACTGAAAATTTCATCATCAGTATTCTATGTATGTGTTTAAATTTGGAAATATAGCAAGGTTGGCCAATAGAAGCAGCTTAAATGAATACATGGCTGTAATCCCAGAGGATATAATTTGATCTTGATAGATTTGCAAAGCATTTTAATCACAGGTGGTTTACTTTCTCAGGTTGGTTCCACCATTTATGAAACAAAAGCTAACATAAGCGAACAGAAACGAGTCCACAGACAATTAAAAGAGAATCTACAGGAGCGCAAAAAGCAAGAGAAGTAGCATGGAGTGATGGTGGTGAAATATTGTGGGCCTCATTGTATTAAATCTGCACTTCTTTTAAAATGCAAACACAGAGTTTCTGTGTGTTTGAAATAAAACTGCTTCTATCAGTTTTTATTATGAGTGTGCACTTATGGCTGAATTCTTTCTTAAAACTCAACATCTCTACAGTCAGAAAATCAGACTGTTTGTAGCTGTGAAGAAGGATCACAAGGTGACCTTTAGAAAATGATTCCCTTTGTTAGTTTTTGGATTCCTGCAATCTCGGATTATGCTACTGAGCAGACAGAAACAAGAAGCATCCTATGAGAGACAGGGAGTCTGCAGTGGTTGCTGCGTGAAGGATGTGCAGCACTGAGGACAGATGAACCCCTGCAGCGAGCTGGTGGAGGATGAGCGCCTACACCATTAACTCTGACCCTCCAGGGTTAAATGTGTCAGGAAAGGCTGAGTTTATCTTCCACTAGTCGTTCTTGCTGGCTGAAACTAAGCACAGAAACATGTAATTGTGTTTAAAGGAAGGCAGAGCTCTGCAGTGGCAGATGGGTAATGTCTCCCTCTGTATTTTTATCACTTGACGAGAACACTGACCTGTGGAACCATCTCTCAGAAACTGGAAGTGTTGAGTGGGAAACACGTTGTGAGGATGTGTTTGTCTCTCTGCAGAGTGATCTGTGGTCGCTCGGCATTACAGCCATAGAGATGGCAGAGGGAGCACCACGTAAGTGTGATTTTATTCCCATCCGCTGAAAATCAGCACAATTTGTCCTTCTTGCCTTTAAATCAGCCCTGGTTCTTTTCAATTTTTCTTCTTTTCATTATTTTTCCTTTCTGTTCTTTCCTACATTTCCTCTATTTTCACAATTTTTTTATCATATATTTTCTTTTTTCTCTTTTAACTATCTAATTTTCTTCTTATTGTTATTTACTTTCCTTTTACTCACACACCTTCCATTTTTATATACTTTCCAACTATTTCTATATTATCCTTCCTTTATTTTTCCTTATTGCTATTTTCTTTAATTTCCTTTTTATTTATCTCCTTTCCATTCCTCGCATCCTCTTTATTTCCTCTCTCAATTGTGATCCTCCTTCCTTTCCCTCTCAGCCCTGTGCGACATGCATCCAATGAGAGCGCTCTTCCTCATCCCCAGAAACCCTGCTCCCAGGCTTAAGTCAAAGAAGTGGTGAGTCTGATAATGTGAAGAGCACTAGTGAAAGATTACTGACCTGCTACAGAGACAGATCGGCTAATGAAAGACAACTTTGACTTGTGTGTTTGCACGTCCAGGTCGAAAAAGTTCCAGTCGTTCATAGATAGCTGTTTGGTGAAGAGCCACAGCCAGCGACCGAGCACCGAGCAGCTCCTCAAACACCCGTTTATCAGAGACCTTCCCAACGAGCGGCAGGTCCGGATCCAGCTAAAGGACCACATTGACCGAACCAAGAAGAGGAGAGGAGAGAGGGGTGAGGCTGCATCCCCCATGACTCTCCTCACAACTCCTGACAGACGCATTCAAAGATAACATGACCTTTTTGTTTTTTTCCTTGACAGATGAAACAGAATATGAGTACAGTGGTAGTGAGGAAGAGGATGAAGAGAGGGATATCGGAGAGCCCAGGTAAGAATATTTAGTCTAAATTTAAATATCAGTTGGGGATTCGGAGCAAGAGAGAAAACCTAAACTTTGAATTTGTTGTTTTGGTGATGGTTATAGCAACAGATACAGCCAGAAACACACACATCTATGGTGGATATCAGAATAAAACCAGGCAACTGACTAGACCTGGCAATTATAAAAACAGCCAGGTCCCAAAAGGCTGGCAACATTTTCAAAAGCTGGCCTTTTTTTAACAGTCAACAGGCATCTGTAGGAATGCTGATGGAGCTATGGTTTTGGTCCTGATCAACTAATATCCTGAATAAAGAGCACTAAATGTTTGTGCAATGGAATAACAGATTTTCAGATCAATATTCAGCTCTGGGTGCATATTGATGCTCTGTTCAGGCTACCCTTCTCCAGAAAACTCCCCTTACAACTTGAGAGTGTTGGACCTGTGACTGAATTTGACATGTGACCCGGAGCACCGCTTTAGAGCAGTCTGAGCTTCCAATAAACCCCAGAGCTAACTAAGCTAAAAATTACTGTTGGCCAACAAAGCAGATATGACCCCTACCTGTGTGACAGTGGGGTGGAGGTTTGACAGGACCCAAATCCAGACACGAAGCTGAAGTGGTTTCTTGAAGATTTAATAACAAAAAGGGTAACAGAAGTAAAAATCTAAAAACATAAATCCACAAAATCTACAAAAACTGAGAACCAGGAATACTAAATTGAAGGGGATGAAATGATGACAAACCTGAAATAGTGACTGAGCAGGAGGTGCATATATGGGAGAGAGAAACAAAGACCAGGCTAATCAGCAGATTGGGAGCAGGTGTGAACAGAGGAGTCTAGAAGGGAGCTAGGAGAAGGAGGCTGACATAAGTGGGCAACAAAGGGCAAACAAGAAATACCTAAGAACTCAGATACATCCAGAAAACACCACAAAATAAGAATTAAACCAATAAAACACTAAAAAACCTGATCAGACATATTTTATGGTTCTCTGATGTAGGGTTTAACCTAGAGGGTGAATGTCGCCTTCTTTTCTACAATTAACTTACATTTTTGGGATTTTAAACCTGGAAGGTATGGTTTTAGCACCTCTAGTGACTGAAAGTTGCACAGAGTTTTGCATTGCTATCAGCAAATGTGGGAAAACAGAGTGGGTTTACTTTACATGTCCATAAGGTGACTGTAATTTGCAACAGCACTGGACACAGATGGCGGGTATGAGAAGGTAGAGGAGAAGAGAAAGGCCCTTCTTTGTTTGTGTAAATCTTTAGAACTAATTTGCAGCAGCAGATTGTTAGTTTCAGGACCTCAGTAATGAACAGCGCCTGTAGGTTAGGAGCACACAGAAAAAGCTAATTGTTACACGATATGCTGAAAAATGGCATGCAAGAAAATAACGTCTTCAAGAGTGCTACATGTCATTACATTATTAATTTTTCATACAAAAGAAAGACTTATGAAAAGTTACTTTTCCACTACATCTGAGAGGGACAGTAGCCTTAGCGGTTAGTAGTTAGCATTAGCTTCTGCTGATGTTTTTATCTTTTAAGGAGTAAATAAATTATTATCCTGGAATAATTTTGCATTGTAAGTCAGATAATTTATGTATAAAAATATATCATTTAATCATCATCTTGTCAATAATTTAGTTAATTGCATATGGGTTAATTGCCTTGGCTAGTTTTACTCTTTACAGCTACTTACATTTAACACTGTCATGGGCTGTGGATCAGGCAGATATTCGGACACAGCCGAAGAGATGTTTCATAGGGATTATTAATATAATATAGTAATTTATAACACATGTAACTCAAACTTGTTCTTTCCAAAGTGTTGTCTTGTAAAATCTATGACTGCAGGACCATACAGGATGATAACAGATGCTAATGCATGGTTTCTAATATAAAATGAGCTTCTCTTCTCCACGTAGGGCCAGAGCTATAGTGTTAATAGAAGGTTACATAGGGTTGATGGATTAAGTCGGTAGATTGCTTCTATAATGCTAGCCTTGGTGCAAAAAAAGATGAATTACATTTTAGAATAAAAGACCAGTTTAGTGTCACTAAACACCTTAAATGGTCCTGATGATGCCTCCTCTGACTTTTGCCATATCTGCTGTTTTTCAGCTCAATCATCAACATTCCCGGGGAGTCCACTCTCAGACGGGACTTCCTGCGCCTCCAGCTGGCCAATAAGGAGCGATCGGAGCTGATCCGGCGTCAGCAACTTGAGCAGCAGCAGAACGAAGAGCACAAGCGCCAACTACTGGCTGAGAGGCAGAAACGCATCGAGGAGCAGAAGGAGCAGCGGCGACGGCTGGAAGAGGTAGCAACAACTCTGAGGTTCTAAGAACAAAGAAAGCATCAAAGTTATTATGTGGCTATTAATAAAACCTCAACATAGAAAGGGGAAAGAAACTATTACTGGGTAAATGAGCACCACTGCAACTAAGCTGTAGCTATTTTAACTCGTCAAAAGCCATCAGATGTGATGCTGGAAAAAAACACACCTGTGTTGTTGTTCATCAGAATACCAGAGAGACACACCTGGCATGCACAAATACACAGCTAACACTGCGGTGTGAAAATTGTTCCCACTTACAGCAACAGCGTCGAGAGCGGGAGATGAGGAAGCAGCAGGAGCGGGAACAAAGGAGGAGGTATGAGGAGATGGAACAGCTCCGGCGGGAGGAGGAGAGGAGGCACGCAGAGAGAGAACAGGTAGAAAAACACCTGGATAATAATTCTTTCAAAACCTTTGGTTAGTTTCACTGCTTCTTAAAGCATTTTGATCAACTTCAGTTGCTTTTATGTCCTTCAATAAATGTATGCCACTTTTTCTAGTAACCTCTATATGAGTTACACCAACATTTAATTTCCAATTAATAAAATACGTTTGAATTGAACATAAAAAATCTATTAGTAAATAGAATGCTCTTCTGAGAAAATTATGTATGAAANTTGATAAGGCCCAGCCTTCAGTAAAAACACACCCGCCCTGCGTCCTGATTGGACAGACCATAAATTTGGTTGGGGAAATCACTTTCAATGAGCGGGTTCCCAGATGTATGTGAGTGGAGCTAGGCGGAGAGAGACATGCATCTGGCTGTTGTCAGGTTAGGTTTTAGCACCCCTAGTGACTAAAAGTTACACAGAGATTTGCATTGCTATCACCAAATATGGGAGAACAGAGTGGGTTTACTTTACATGTCCATAAAGTGACTGTAATTTGCAACAGCACTGGACACAGATGGCGGGTATGAGAAGGTAGAGGAGAAGAGAAAGGCCCTTCTTTGTTTGTGTAAATCTTTAGAACTGATTTGCAGCAGCAGATTGTTAGTTTCAGGACCTCAGTAATGAACAGCGCCTGTAGGTTAGGAGCACACAGAAAAAGCTAATTGTTACACGATATGCTGAAAAATGGCATGCAAGAAAATAACGTCTTCAAGAGTGCTACATGTCATTACATTATTAATTTTTCATACAAAAGAAAGACTTATGAAAAGTTACTTTTCCACTACATCTGAGAGGGACAGTAGCCTTAGCGGTTAGTAGTTAGCATTAGCTTCTGCTGATGTTTTTATCTTTTAAGGAGTAAATAAATTATTATCCTGGAATAATTTTGCATTGTAAGTCAGATAATTTATGTATAAAAATATATCATTTAATCATCATCTTGTCAATAATTTAGTTAATTGCATATGGGTTAATTGCCTTGGCTAGTTTTACTCTTTACAGCTACTTACATTTAACACTGTCATGGGCTGTGGATCAGGCAGATATTCGGACACAGCCGAAGAGATGTTTCATAGGGATTATTAATATAATATAGTAATTTATAACACATGTAACTCAAACTTGTTCTTTCCAAAGTGTTGTCTTGTAAAATCTATGACTGCAGGACCATACAGGATGATAACAGATGCTAATGCATGGTTTCTAATATAAAATGAGCTTCTCTTCTCCACGTAGGGCCAGAGCTATAGTGTTAATAGAAGGTTACATAGGGTTGATGGATTAAGTCGGTAGATTGCTTCTATAATGCTAGCCTTGGTGCAAAAAAAGATGAATTACATTTTAGAATAAAAGACCAGTTTAGTGTCACTAAACACCTTAAATGGTCCTGATGATGCCTCCTCTGACTTTTGCCATATCTGCTGTTTTTCAGCTCAATCATCAACATTCCCGGGGAGTCCACTCTCAGACGGGACTTCCTGCGCCTCCAGCTGGCCAATAAGGAGCGATCGGAGCTGATCCGGCGTCAGCAACTTGAGCAGCAGCAGAACGAAGAGCACAAGCGCCAACTACTGGCTGAGAGGCAGAAACGCATCGAGGAGCAGAAGGAGCAGCGGCGACGGCTGGAAGAGGTAGCAACAACTCTGAGGTTCTAAGAACAAAGAAAGCATCAAAGTTATTATGTGGCTATTAATAAAACCTCAACATAGAAAGGGGAAAGAAACTATTACTGGGTAAATGAGCACCACTGCAACTAAGCTGTAGCTATTTTAACTCGTCAAAAGCCATCAGATGTGATGCTGGAAAAAAACACACCTGTGTTGTTGTTCATCAGAATACCAGAGAGACACACCTGGCATGCACAAATACACAGCTAACACTGCGGTGTGAAAATTGTTCCCACTTACAGCAACAGCGTCGAGAGCGGGAGATGAGGAAGCAGCAGGAGCGGGAACAAAGGAGGAGGTATGAGGAGATGGAACAGCTCCGGCGGGAGGAGGAGAGGAGGCACGCAGAGAGAGAACAGGTAGAAAAACACCTGGATAATTATTCTTTCAAAACCTTTGGTTAGTTTCACTGCTTCTTAAAGCATTTTGGTCAACTTCAGTTGCTTTTATGTCCTTCAATAAATGTATGCCACTTTTTCTAGTAACCTCTATATGAGTTACACCAACATTTAATTTCCAATTAATAAAATACGTTTGAATTGAACATAAAAAATCTATTAGTAAATAGAATGCTCTTCTGAGAAAATTATGTATGAAATTATGAAATTATGTATGAAAGAACTTTATATAAAGTTCTTTTTCAAAGCGTTTTTTTCTTTTAGCTTTCGTTCAGTTGCCTCAGTTATATGCAATTTTAGATTTTTAATTATTTTATTGACATCTTTAAAAATCTAGATTTGTCATCTAATAGCTAATAGGTGTATTAAGTTTGCCATAGTATTAACACACACACAAACACACACACACATATATATATATATATATATATATATATATATATATATATATATATATATATATATATATATATATGTAAGCATCAGAATTCCTATGACATTTTTAGTAGTAGTAACTGACTCTGACATTAGGATCCTTGATCCTTCTTAGGTTCAAGGGCGTTAGCTTTAGGCGTGGTTAACATTAGTATTAAAATACTAACATTATCATAGATGTAATTTTTGGTAGGTTGTTGGAATCCAATATTATAGACTCTGTATGTATTTTAGCATCTGGCTGTTTCTTTGATGCACAAATTGGATATAGATTTTATATATCAACATGTTCTGGGTCACTAAAATAGATTTATTTATTGTATTTATTCATTTCAAACAATTGCATGCATTGAAACATACAAGTGAATGCCACTTCATCATTTTAAACGTATGAGTCATATTATAACTAACAGAAAAAAGAAAAAGAAGAAAAAAAACAGAACTGAAAGACAGTGAGAAGAAGAAAACTTATTAAATACCAACCCGTTGCTGATTCATAGTAAGCATGTATATATTTCCAGCTACTTTTTTCTTTTTTTTTTTTTTTTTCCTTAAAGGCAACTTAGAACACAAAATTGTAGGAGCAAAAGCAGTTTAAAAATAATAATAATAATGTTCCCAGTACTTACAACAAATAAGCAAAATCGCAATTGTGTTAATCCAGCAGTTAATTAATTACATAGTGTCTTTTTGTTTTCCAGCATACCAGCAATGGTAAGGAAGAACTACAAGCACACATTAACATTCACTAATTTACATTTAAGGGAAGGAGAAATTGTGTTACGATAAAACAAGTAGGACGGTGAAACATGCAGTGGGCGATCATATTTTTTCAATGTTCATGCACAGGTTGAATTCCAAACAGAAATGTTTGATGAGAGATTCTGTTGCAAAGTGATGAACTCTGACATATTGTCCCTTGGAAAGTAAATAGACTTTCAAATGGTTCTCTGCCGAATCCAGTTCTCACATTAAGAAGCTGATCTAATGGTGAACATATCATCACAATTAAAGGGAAGGGACAGATTTTCTTTGCAAAAACCAGTATAATTTTTCAGAGTTATGATTTTTTCTCTGCAAAGCTGAGTTCTCCATGACTGTTTTATTATAAGCATGCCCCTCTATTCCACTAATGACAGCTCCCTGCTGCTCCGTTCAATTTATTTCTCATTTGTTTCTGAATTACTATCCAATCTTAACACTCCTTTCATAAACGTACTTTTCTGTGCCCTCTTTCTTTCTATTGTTCTCCTCTTATATTTCCTGCTCTGCTGATATCACTGGTTGCCTGGGGCTCTGATTCGCTTCTGTTCCGCCTGGTCGCTCTCTGATTGGATGCGTCTTTTTGCGCTGTCCGGCCTCTGATTGGGTAGGAGTATATCCGTAGACAGCTGGAGGAGGAGCAGAGGCAGCTGGAGATCCTGCAACAGCAGCTTCTGCAAGAGCAAGCTTTACTGCTGGTAACACAACATGCAAACACACACGTAGATGCAGATAATCTGATTCTAGAGATAAGACCCACTGAAACCATTTCTCATCTTCAGTTCTTTAAGGAAGGTATATTTAGAATCCCTGAACTCTGTGGTTAGCAGCTTATTCTAAACCAATTAAGTCTGAAAGTTAAAGTTTCAGATATAGAAATGTCATTTAAATGCAGCATAGAGTACAGGACTGGGTGGAAGAACTGCGGTGAGAAAGGTGAGCTTCAATGGCTGCCTGAAACCGTAGCTCACCACAGATATACGCCTCACAGTGCGCATGCGCAGAAAAGATAGCTAACGGGACGAGCACGTAGGACAGCCTTACGTAAACACGCCAACAGAATGATTGACAGTTAGGAGAACCACTTCTTTAGATGATCCTCCCGGAAATAAAAGATCATCCTCTATACCTTCAATAAATAACAATCAATTGCATTTTAATTGAAAACAATATATCGACAAAATGCAAACATTTTTCTAATTATAAACCCTTTTTAGCTCTTGTGGAATAAATCTACATCTGAGCGCAGCCAGAAATATATTTACTCTTTTTAATCCATTAGTTAGCCTGTTCAACTGTGTCACTGGTTTTAAGTTAAAATCATTTAGCTTTTTATGCATATTTTATGCAACTTATTTGAAATACTGCTTTGATCAGTATATGGACACTATTATAGCGCAATTTATTATATTGAATATGGTAAAAATATATAAATACATAGCAACTATGCATAAATACTGCATATAAGAGTTTAAGTGTTGCTGTAAAAACAAAATAAGGTTCCATTTTAATACAGACATTAGAGAGATTAAAGCATTGTACAGAAAAATGGCTGCCTGTGCTTCAGATTAACATGTATGCAAGAAACAGGGAATTTAGTGATTTCAGTATGTATTTTAAAAAGTGCGACTTACTGCTTTCATTTTTCAAGGCTTTGAAATCGAAATAATTAATTTTTCAAAATCAATGTATTGAATTTATAAACCTCGGCCTTATTTTTATGATAATTTGTAATTTGTGTTTGAGACCACTGTCCCGATCTAGCTGCAAAGTTAAACATAATTTTATTTTAAATAGTTTTCTATCATGTTTCTGTCCCTGATAAAATAACTTCACAGCGTTATACTGCCACCGTCGTGCTTGACAATAAGCCCAGTGCTCTGTCGTTGCTCCTCGTCTTTCTGGCTGAAAAGCTCAGTCTTGTGTGACCATAGAAATTTTCTCTTGAAGACGTTTGGCTTGTCAGTTAACTTTAAACATGCTTCTTTTAAGTTTTTACCTAAACTTTGGTGTTTTTTGGTGTTTATTTTGTCTTTCCCAGACATAACCAATTTCTCTTCATCCAAGGTTAACCATTTCAATCTTATTTCCCACAATATAAAAAAGCTGTCCCTTGTTCAGGGCTCTGTCACACCTTGCTGTTTTAGCCAGCGAATGCCTGACGTCCCAGAATCTCCTAAAACGCTGGCATACGCTGAACTTTCTATGTATTTTTCCAACTTTGGGTGTATATATAGCATATTCATAACGAGTCCAGAACGTAAGTCCAACGACAGCCTAACTTATGCATAATGAGGGGTGCGCCCAGAGGCGCCCAGTCTGCATAAAAACATTTATTTGATCACAGTATTAACCCCTTGAACCCTACGGACCCACCGGCAGGTCCAGCTGCTACGTGACCTCGTAGTTTTACCAAACCCCCAGTATTGATGTAAAAAACACATTTGGCACAGTTTGGTGACATTTATGGATAAATGTGCCAGAATGGCCTCTCTGCCTAAGAAATTTCTCACTAATACCATTCTAAAATAAATATGATTCATCTGATTGAGCCCAAATTTGGTATATTTTTACACAACATTTAGATTTGAAAGTCTGTACTACTTTTTTGTGCTATAAAAAATATTTTGGTAGTGTTTTGCAATGTTTATTTCAAAGAAAATTTTGGCGAGGTTCAAAAAATGCAAAATATTTTGTATTTTGTCCCTAATATTTCAGGCAGGGTCAAAGCTACAATGGTGCTGACACCAGAAAACCATTCTATGACATCTTACCTTTACAGACGTACCAAAAGTTTCTTCTTAAATCTAATAGCTTTGAGGCTATAAGTTATTTACTTTTGTGTGTTTTTGTCAGGCAGAAATTTATTTATACCCCCTTAGGGTGTAAGAGGTTAACCTAGCTGCTGTTTACCACCTGCCCAAAAAATGGAAAAAAAATAAATAAATAAAAAGAAAGAAAGAAGGTTTGCTGTCGCAGCAGATTCAGTCTCATGCTTTCTAGGAAGTTTGTTGGTTGTGGGCGTGAGCGCAGGGAGGATCCATCACTCACCTTCTGGCTCACCCTATGATGGGGATGAAGTCTGGAGGAGAACTGATGGTTTCCTCCTGTGAACCCTCTTTCATACGTATGTCAATGTGTACCAGCGTGTTTCAGCGTACCTCAGCATACTCATAACTCAATGTACCCATAACTTATCCAACGTATGCCAGCGTTTTTGCCAGATTTTTCGTATATCAGGCATATGCTGGTCTAAATAGTCAAGGTGTGATAGAGGCTGCAAACTATGGCTGAAAACTTCTAAAAGTATGGGAGTGACTCCTTTCAGATGCATTATGAAGGTTTAAACGTCTCTGTTGCTTCTTTTGTCTGCAGGAGTACAAGAGGAAGCAGATTGAGGAGCAGCGGCAGGCGGAGCGGCTGCAGAGGCAGCTGCAGCAGGAGCGGGCCTACCTGGTGTCTCTGCAGCAGCAGCAGCAGGAGCCTCCGCGGCCGCCACAGGACAAGAAGCAGCTTTACCACTACAAGGATCAGGCGCCAAGCAGCAACGACAAGCCAGCCTGGGCCAAAGAGGTAACCTGCAGGGTCCCAGACTTAAACTCCATCACATTTACCTTCATGGAAACCCGTTTCTCTGTGTAGAGTCATGAAAACTCCGCCTGAGATTTTCTGCTGTGGTGTAGCATCCTGATTTTCCTCCCAGGGAGATGATCTCCGTATGGAAACTTTAAGCTCTCCTCAAACTCAAATCAAAGCTTTTCTTTTAAATCTACAGGTTTATATTTACAGTGCTGTGGAAGCTGGACCACAGAGAGCCTCAGATTTGACTTGGTTTGCTTCCTTGCAGGTATCTTCAGAGCTGCTCCCACAGTGTTTGTCATGAGCCCAGAAATGTCACCCTGTGTCTTTATTTCTCTTAACAGATGAAAGTAAAGAGCTCGGAAATTCTGCCAATAAACAAATCTTTAAAAAGTCTTAGTCATAACTCCTCAGACGGATAAATCCCATTTTTTTCTTTTAAAGGGCATCAGAAGTTGCTTGGTGCCTTTTAATGCTGGAAACATTTTGTTTCTGAACATTTTAAAGAAACGACTCAGCTTTGTTTATTTTTTCATTCAGACTCTGCTTTTACTGGTTTGTGTTTTTCTGTAGTAAGAATAAGGAGGTCCACTTATTAATACATCCATGTTATATTTAAACACACACAAAAAAAGTAGAGGGAATCTACAGGTGCTTAAAAAGCAAGAGAAGGAGCATGGTCTTATGGTTTGATATATTGAAGGCCTCTTTGCATTAAATCTGCAATCAGAATGTTTTAATTCCACATAGAGAGAGGTTAGTGTGTGTGTTTGAAATAAAACCAGTCATGGCAGTATTTATTATCCATGTGCACTTTTGGGATAATTCTGACTTAATAGTCACTTATTTATCACGAGACAGCCCAGGGATACACAAAATAGAGAAGCATGAAGAGGCTCATACCTAAGGGTAATTTAAAGAGAGCAATTGAGCATTATGTATTTGGGCTGTGGGTGGAAGCAGAAGTACCCTGAGGGAACCAACCGTAGGGGGAGAACATGCATGCTTCCTTACCGCAAGGCAAAAGTGTAACTTACTGCACGGATAAAGTTAAAGTTAATTTAACATAAAAAAATGACATTAGTACTGCTATATTTGTCTCTGCTTCAGAGCACGGACATGGCTGTAATCTGGAGCCGCCATCGGCTTACATTTAAATACTTCCTGTTTCATGATACAGAAAACTCCGACTTTCAGCATAATGTGATTTACTAAGCAATTAATCTGTCACTGTCATGTCTTTTCCTCTGGGAGGAAAACTCTGAGGAGTGCAGAACGTGACAAAACTACAAACAAAACTAAAATCCAAGAAAGTGAAGATAACCGGATTCCTTCTAAAACAATGATTGTTTTAGAAACTTTAAAATATGGCAAGAATAATGGCATAAAATGCTGTTGGAGGAGTTGATTATTTCAATGTTTTTCTCTTTGAATAACAACGCTGTGAAATATATTATGAATGACAGAAATTAGCGATTTAACAGGAAAACAACTTGTCATGTTACCAAAAATCTAGTTTAGATTTGAAGGCATGAAGCTGATTGATTGTGTCAATAAGGGGGGTGAGGTTGCTTGAGGACCCAAATGCAGAGATGAGTGAAACAGAGATGAGTTCTTGTGGGTTTAATGAAAAAAACTAAGGCAGACATCCAAAAATACAAAATAAAAAGAACTAAAAACCAGAAAACATCAGGGAAAACTCACATGGGAGGCCAGAGACAAAGAAGGAACTAACAACAAGGAACCAGCAAAACATTGGCTGTGTTTGTATTTATGGGCTCGTCTTCCAAGGAGGTGTTCTTCCTGGACTGGATCCTTCAAAGTCTGTGAAAATAACGAGACCAGAAGAGTTTTGGCTGTAATTTCAAACAGGTGTAGCCTTAGCCGGCTTTCACCACCGTATGTTGCCTAGCAACCGTGACACTTGACAAAAAGCAGGAAAAGAATGAATACCGATCTTTTCAAAACTATTTATTTTTACTTTTTTTCTCTTTTTATTGTAAAGTGGACAAAGACTACACTCACGAGAATCCAGATTGGAATAAAGGTTCCAATCACCGGGAGCAGGAACAAATAAAAGAAAAAGTAGTGATAGAAACCTTAGTCAGTTAAATAACATGCTGCTGTCATTTCTGATGTTGCTGCTATTTTAAAATATCCATTACTGTAAAAATGTCCATAGTTGTATATTGGTTATTAACTTTAGAGTACAGTATGCTATTGTTTATCTTTTAACTCTTCACTATTATGTTATTCTTAGATATTTTTCTAAGGTCCACATTTATGTGACCGTTTTTTACTATAATCTTTTTGCTTCTTTAAACACCAGAATTTTCTCATTTTGGGACAATAAAGGGATTTTTTAAATTCTATTCCATAAAAGGGGGAGAAAGAATGTATGTATAAAAAATATACCTACAAATTAATTTCAACAACAAAAAGTAATTAGTTATGCAAATTGTACAAAAAAAAAAAAAATAGCAATAAAAAAATAAAAATCCTATCAGATTTAAAGTCCCCACACTGCAGATTATTATTATTAAATTACAGCCAAATACATTTACACAGTAACAGATAAAAACCTTTAGATAAACCAAACATTACCACCACATATCTGACTCAATAACCATTAAAACAACTATTTTCAATAATTTCAGACGGAACTATTCACATACTTGAATTTTATTAAACTGAACATCCAATATTCACCACTGTTTGGCGCCATTTCCCTTTTTCCTCTGATCACGGAGCAGCCGGCTTGCTTGGTCTCGCAATGAATCCTGGGATAAGGATAGATAAGATACAGCGGACCCGTCTTTTATATCGGGCAAAAAGAAGGATGCATTTGTAGGCTGCATAACGAGGAGTCTTGGAATCCGACCAGACCTCAGCGCCGCACTACTATATCGGCCTTCGGAGGACGAAGCCCATAAATTCAAATACAACCAGTGACCGAAAATGAGTTGTATAAATGTAAGACTGAACAAAGATAATTAGTAGATATGGAGCAGATGTGGACAGAGGAGTCTAGAAGGGAGCTAGGGAAAAAGACTGACAGAAGACGACAGCAGAGGGCAAACAGTACCTAAGAGCTTCAAATACAATTAAAAATAACTAGAATAACACAAAATGGAAATTAAACCAATAAACTAGAAAACATTGAAAGACGTGAATCAAAGTATAAAAGAAAACTCAAAAAAGAAAACTTAAATAAAAACAAAAAGTCCTGAAAGGTTGACTAAAGGACCGTAGAGCGCTTTGGTGTAAAGGTTGAATAGAATAAAAAAATTGATTCACATTATTTCATTAAAAATAAAGCCTGTTCTTTAAGAAAAGTGAGATGAATTTTAGGTGTAAACCTTATTGAAATATGGTGCTGATGACCCTTTAACAAACCAATTGATGAGGATTCAAAAGCTTCAAACTTAATGAGTGTTTTCATCCCATCAGTGGACGTCTTGGGTTTAATGCTTAATGTTTCCCATCCCCCGCTCCCTTTTAACTGGCTCTTCTTCAGGTGATGCGACGAGCTCAGAGCAATTCACCTCGCATCCCCCCAAAGAAGTATCACTCCTTCAAAGAGAAGCGGGAAGTCAACCTGGACAACCTCCTCCTGCTGCCTGGTTACAGGCCTCCCCGGCCCCGCCCCCCTTCTTACCCTGCTCATGTCAGCCCCTCCAGGGACAACCTGCATGTACCCAGAATCAGGATCACCTGCCTACCCGAGGAGAATTATTCAGACCCACCCATGAGGAGGGAGAGTCCCGGCAGGAGCCCCGTGAGGTGCCCTGACTCCAGGGGCCGCAGCCCCGCCCGCCGGGTCAGTCGGACAGACAGACAGACAGATGCCTCCTCCTGGTTCTGCAGCCTCAATGAACCCTAACCTGTTCCTATTAACTGCTTTATTTCTCTAACCAGGTGAACTCACATCCTTTAACTCTGGCTGCTGCAGCTCAAATGGTGATTTACCTTGTTTGAAAACCTCCCACTGGTTTATCTAAACACTTCTCTTTGGATTTTCTGGAGTTTCTAACAACTAACCTTAAAAAACTGAAGCTCTGATCTCTTCAAACAGTACTCAGCTGTCCATATTCAGGGTGCTGTTGATGAAGAAGCTGGTGTTCAATTCAGTCTCTTTAATCGGTACTGTTTATTCATTCAAAGAAATGCTAGTACCGAGTTGAAAAATTGGTCAAAAACCTCTTTCAATGCAACAGTAATGTTCTGAGTGAGATTAAAAGCAATACACAGAGACACACCAGCTCACTTCCTGTCATGAGTCATTACTTTTTTCTCCCTCAAAGCTGTTTAACCTTCTTTTTTCAAGTCTCTGGAACCTTTATCTTTTACCAAAGTGGGATCTAATGGTGTTTTATTGCATGATGTCCTTGGTTTTAATGTCTAACAGGTACTAACTTCAACCACTAATCTAAACTTTCCTTTCCCAGGTTTCATTCTTTTTTGTCTATTTTTTTGCATGATATATATGTTTCCTTCACTGAAATCTTGCTTTGTGTAATTGTTTTAAGTGATGCCTCTCAAACTGCGGCTGTATTTGAGCCCTGAAAACATAAATCAAGGCTGTAAATGCAAGCAGTGCCATGTGAAGACCCCATTTAGGGCAGATTTGCAGGCCTGCCCCCTGGTGGCAGCTGGTAGACAGATGTAGGGCATTGGCAGCTATTTTTAGTGGCACTGTGTGCAGAAAGGTCTATCCTATTCTAAGCTTTATAGGACTTCCCTCAAGGCTTAAGAAAAAAACAAAATAACAACACAGAGATACAAATGTGCTGGGCTTTAGAAGGAGCAATTAAGAAAGACATGTTTTAGTTATCTGAACTTTTGCCATTTCACAGTTCTTACACACAAAGGATAGGGATGGATGGATGGTACTACTAAAATGCATGGACACAGTAAGAAAGGATTGGCATAGTGTTGTTGTAACAAAGGAAAGATAAGGTTAGAGATAAAAGGAAAGAGGAGATAAAAGCAGGTGATCTGCTTTGGCGCCTAAAAGACAGAGCAGCTAGATGACAACGTATTAAACTTTGGATTTGTAAAAATACACTTAGCAATTTCACATTCGATTAACTATTAATTTCATATTCCTTGATATTTTAAATAATTTATTCAGGCCTTTTCAGTCACTAAAGATCCAACTGCTTTGTCAGTTTTATAATTTGGTGGTCGGTCTGACAATTCACACAGCTAAAAAGTTGTTAAACAAAAACAAATAATTTAAAGTATAGTGCATTTGAAATAAGAAAATTAAAAAGGCGTATTAGGGCCATACTAAGCAATATATATTTTTAGGTTACAATAAAAAAGTAAAGCCATACAATTACAAGAACAAAGTCATAACATTGGTTCTAAGACATAAAAGTTGTATTCCCAGAATAAAAATAAATATGGTAATAAGGTTGTAGCATTACTAGAATGAAGTTGTAACATTATTGTAATGGTCGTAACATCATAAGAATTGACTGGTGACATTACCATGATGACGTTGTAACATTACCATAATGAAGTCGTTGCATCTCATATTGTCGTAAAATTACCAGAATGAACTGGTAACATTACTGTATTAAAGCTGTAATGTTACCGTAATTAAGTTGTTACATCTTCATAATTAATTCATTACATTACCCGAATTAACTGGTAAAATTACCATAAGCCATAGCATTACCGTGATGAAGTGGTTACATCTCTGTAATGATGTCATAACATTACCAGAATGAAACGGTAACGTTATTGTAATGTAGTCGAAACATTACCAGAATGGACTCGTAACATTACCATAATGAAGTAGTAACATTAATAGAATGAACTGGTAATGTTACCATGATAAAGTTGTAACATTAGTAGGATGGACTGGTAACATTTTGAAGTCCTAACATTAGCTGAAGGAATTGGTAACATTACCATCATTAAGTTGTAACATTACTAGAATAGACTGGTGTCATTACCGTAATGAATTAGTAACATTACCAAAATGAACTGGTAACATTATTGTAAACAAGTCACAACATTACTAGAATAGACTGGTGTCGTTACCGTAATGAAGTAGTAACATTACCAAAATGAACTAGTAACATTATTGTAAACAAGTCACAACATTACTAGAATAGACTGGTGACGTTACCGTAATGAAGTTTTAACATTGCCATAATGAAGTAATAACATTACCAAAATGAACTGGTAACATTATTGTAAACAAGTCACAACATTACCAGAATAGACTGGTGACGTTACCGTAATGAAGTTTTAACATTGCCATAATGAAGTCGTAACATTACCAAAATGAACTGGTAACATTATTGTAAACAAGTCACAACATTACCAGAATAGACTGGTGTCGTTACCATAATAAAGCAGTAACATTAACCAAATAAACTGGTAACATTATCGTAATGACGTCGTAACATTTCCAGAATGAACTGGTAACATTAATGAAGTTGTAACATTACCAGCATAAAGTTGTAACAGTATGACTAAAGTCATGTTATTACGAGTATAGTTTAAATATGAGATAATGCAATATTATGACGTTAAAGAAGCCTTTAATGTTAACTCCTACAAGAAATAGCATTCTTGCTCCTGAGTTAAATGCTGTGCTGTTTGAGAGAGCTTGGTTGATAACTTTAATGAAGATTTCCTCTTAAAAAACAGTGTTTCAGTCTCATAACATTACAATTTTATTCTTGTAATGGCATAACTTTATTCTTGTAATTAATAAAATAAGTCTTATTATGGCCCAAATACTTGCCTTTAGAAATATCTTGGTTATAACGCATCTTTTATGTCAGATTTTATCCTGCCTTTTAAGCTTTCTTTTATGAAACACAACTATTGAGCTCAGAAATCAGAGAACAAATATCCTTGAAAAATGGGCTATCAGCATGGTAACTAAACACTCTGTGACCTATAAACTCTGACCAGGGGCCCGTTTACCAACACGGACCCAGAGCACGCTGGTTTACCTTAATGAGACACATTTGTTGCATGCCAAGTGACCGTTGTCTGATGTTTGTGTCAGGTGGAGGAACATTATAAGATGAACAGACAGGATTCTCCTGCATTGCAGCATAAAGTCTCCAACCGGATCTCGGACCCATCCTTGCCGCCCCGCTCTGAGTCCTTTAGCAGTGGAGGAATCCAGCAGGCCAGGACTCCACCCATGCACCGCTCCGTAGAACCGCAGGTCAGTACACCACAGCTTCAGATGGATGGATGGATGGAAATACAGGGCATACAGAACAACAACAAAAAGAAGCAGGTACCTAAATAGAACCAACAATCTGAGAGAACGAAGCTAAACTGTCTGGTCTAGCTGCTGTGTGTGAACTTAACCTTTGAGATTTGGAGCAAATTAGAGCTTTTCCTGATTCCTGTGAACACCCTTTTTTCTCACCTTGATCACTCTTCCTGACCTGCTTCCTGATCACCTACTAATACCTTCTGATCCTGCTCTTCCCTCCTCCACCTGGCCTGTTTCCTGCCTGTGTGTGCGTGTGTTGTTCAGATGGCCCACCTGGTGCAGGTGAGGAGTCACGGCCTGTCAGGCTCCCAGTCCCTGTACGACCCCCACGGCGTGTCCTCCACCTCCGCGTCGCCCTCCCCCTCCCGGCCTCCCATGCCCCGGCAGAACTCCGACCCCACGTCCGACACCCCTCCTCCCCCGCCACTGTCCCGCCTGGCACCCCCCCTCGACAAACTGGACCGCAGCTCGTGGCTGCGACAGGATGACGACATGCCGCCCAAGGTTTCTGCATGCTGCCGATTGAGTGTGTTAGCATTAGTGCCCACTTTCCTTTTCTTTTCAGTCTTGTGATGTTTCAGCATTAAGGTCGTTCACTTTGTGCTCATGTCATCCTCATCGTTGTTTTTCTGTCTCAATGGAAACGGGTCTTTTTTTTTCTCTTTTTTTTTTTTTTTTTTTGGACTAACAACTATTGAGCCACATTTAAAAGTCTTAAATGTGATTAAGAGGGATAAATATTTGATGTTAAGGAGAAAGAGAACAGATTGATTGATTGTTTTTAACAATTTTTCAAATTTTTTTTCAAATTCATTTTATGCCAATAGAAAGCAAGTTTTATTTTCTTTTAAGTTTTACTTCCATTTAAAAATTTCCCCATCAGAAAGGAAAATGCTTGTATGGTTTTGGCTTCCCTGCCAACTTAAACGACATTTTAATTTTTTAACTCTACCTTTGATTTGGTTGAATTTATTGACATGTATATAAAACATTTGTAGGATTTTTTTGCCTTTAAAGCAATGCTGCCTAACTTTTGACCCAAGTATTGGCTTAATTTGAGATATATTAGATCATTTTCAGTATTTTCAATTTTCAGTTCAGCTCTTGGTGCGTATTGATGCTCCATGCAGGCTTATCTTTTAGAAAAATCTATCTATCCGAGGCATCTGTTTTGCTTTGTCCACAAAAGCATTTTCCTGATAGATGTAGCACCATTCAGAAGAAATATAAAGGTTTTCTAATAGTAAGAGGTTTAATGTAAAGAAATGATCAATCAGGTAAAAATTATTTACTTTCAATACAAAGTATTTTGCTCATTAGATAATCTGATACTAGATTCCCTGATCTCAAAAAGTTGTTAGTATTAAATGAAACTGTGTGTTTCCAGGTTCCTCAAAGGACCACTTCCATTTCGCCTGCCTTGGTCCGTAAGAACTCTCCTGGAAACGGTCCTGGACTCGGTCCGCGGGCTGGAGCTCACCTCATCCGGGCCAGGTACGTCCACACAGAGAGGGAGAGAAAGAAAAAAGGCTGAAGAGCTCTGAAATACCTGCTGTGTGTTCACCGGCGGGATTTAAAAGGTTTCCTTTTATGAATGAAACGGCGCTGTGTTCTTGTTGCCATAGCAACCCTGACCTGCGGAGGACTGATATTTCCATGGATACGCCTCTGAAGAGGACGAGCAGCGGCAGCTCTTCCAGCTCCAGCACCCCCAGCTCCCAGGGAGGCTCCAACGAACGAGGTGAGTGTCAGTCCTCTCTTCCTTTTCCTGTGTCTAACAGCTGGTGTCCATCACCTGGTGTCCATCACCTGGTGTCCAGCATCTAGTTTTCATCACCTGGTGTCCATCACCTAGTGTCCAACAGCTGGTGTCCATCACCTGGTGTCCATCACCTGGTGTCCATCACCTGGTGTCCATCACCTG